TAAAAAGGAAAAAGGTCTCATAGATTAATTTACTCTAATTCTGCCTAAAAGAATTTTAATTTGATGGTAGTCTGGTACAGATCCTGATTAGTAATAAAATCAAATTGGGTATATGTGTGCCCCATGTTTTGCATTGCTAGCACACAAAAATATAGCTAATAAAAAGGAAAAAGGTCTCATAGATTAATTTACTCTAATCCTGCCTAAAAGAATTCATGTGCTGTGGCTATTGAGGATTCCCTCTTGTTTTTATTTACATCAATGAAGGAATAGTCAATAAATTATTTAAATCTGTTGGTGATATTGAAGTTTTGAATGCTGTTAGCTGTGAAGATAATTCTGCTGCTCTTTAGTGAGTTGAGCAAATAAATGGCAGATGGCTTTTAATTATAATAAATGCAAGGTAATGCATATGGTATATCATAATTTGTATATTGAGTATAATTTTGATGGGAATAATCTTAGCTTCGTTATGAAGCAAAAAGGTTTTGCTGTTCTAGTTCTTACTCTTTTAAGCCATACAAGTATTATGCTGTTGCAAGTGGCAGCCTGGCAGGGCAAATAAGATTTTAGGTTGTATCTAAAGAGGTTATAATGTCATTGTAAAGCTAATTTTTTAGGTAACATTTGGAGTACTGTTTTCAGTTTTAGAGAGAACATTGAATTGTTAGAAAGGATTCAGAGGAGGGATACTAGGATTATACTTTTGATGAAAAGTTGTCATATGAGGATAGTTAAGAACTCTGAAATTGTTTTCTCTTGAGAGAAAAGTTAAGAGTGAATCTGATTGTGGTGTTTATGACTGTTAAAATAATTGATAGTGTTGATTCATCTTTTTTTCATATTTAACCCTATCAACATGGGTCAAAGACCATGTCATCATGTTTGTTGACTTGCATTCAAAATTTTATGAATTTATGTCCATAAGTTTGGTATAAAATTGTATACTATAATTCAAATTTTAGTATATACATTAGTTAATTACTTATTTTAAATGTAACTATTCAAAAAAATTCTCTAAATCTCCTGTCATACTAATCAATTTAAATTTCTTAAATTTTTGATGCTTTTCTTTAATTTTATCTTTTTTCCCTTTGTGAGCCAGCCTTGTTTTTCTATAAGGAATATGTTTATCTTGAACATTTAAAAATTTATCTTTTAAAAATTTTCCACATTTGATCAGTGTCTCCAAATAATTCAGCTGCCCAATTCACAACAGGTTTTTATTTTTGCATCACTTTAAAATTAGTTTTTTTGAAATTTGTAACCAAAATATCATTATTCCTAATCTCCATATGCAGCAAAACATCAAATCTAATAGAGCAATTATCACTTGCACCCAGATATTCCCCAATTTCCATCCTCTCAACAATTTCTGTAATAGAAGTTAACAATAAATCTAAAATAACATTGTTTCTAGTAGGTTTCTTGACCAATTGGTGAAGAAATCTATCTTGAACAAAAACATTTCTCCCTCATGGTTTGACTCTAGCATTTCCCAATCTATAGGCCTGAAATTAAAATCACTCATAATTATGACCTAATTAACAACTGAAATCTTAATCTCATTGTAATCTGGTGGTCTGTAATAAATTCCCACTAAAAGCTTTTTCCCTTTATATCTGCTAATAGAAACTCAATTAGATTCAATCTCCTTACTATTATCTTTGATTCCTCAACTTCAGGAAAATGTAACTCACATTTTACATATAAGGCCACTCTTCCCCCTTCTCATTAGTACTCTATCCCTATTCTTGAGGTCAGCATGATCACAGTCCTGTGATTTTGCCTGGTAATGTTATCGCCATCTTGACAAAGAGGCAAAACAATAGCAAAGCGAGTACAGCTACATGTACACAATTTATATATGTCTTCCATGTACACGTGTTACTGCTGAAGCTTATTTGCAAATACTTCCATTACTGTTCATATATTATTGTTTGATAGTCAAATTATCAATTGCAATGTCTTATCAAGACATGGAGAAGTTGTCAGCTGAGGCATCAGCAAGATATCGAGTGAAGTTACAATTAATTGGGCTTGATTCTTGTGCCTACCAGCACTATGCTGACTCATGGATCAATGACTTAATAGAATGGCCCAGTGTGCAGTACCTGGACTTGTACAGTTACCCTGTGTCAAAAAAAAAATCGGAATACAACATTTACAACTTATAAAATGAGCTAAACACACAGAGTTGTAGTCAGAATTTGGCTCCCACATCTTTCCTCTTGCTTCCTGTGTTCTGCAGTTGGTAGCTTTCAGCCACAACACTCTTCTCTCTTTTCGTTCATTCATTCAATTCTTGGTACTTGGATTTATAGATCCCTGTTAAGGCCCATTTGTTTGAGTATTTTTTTCAACGATTTTTCTTCTTGTCAGTTATCCTGGCTGGCCTTGGTTTCTCTCATTTTCAGTAGCTTGACTGGGTATCAAATAGAAGGAAAATTCAGGTCTTTTTGACTTGTTATTGGTGAAATTAAATACACAATAATTATTCACCATATTTGCATAAACACAAATAGTTGTTATGAATACGAGTCTAGACAGTCAGCAAGTGTACGGATTGAACTAAATTTCCCCTTTATTGTAATATTTGTTTGCCCCTTTGCCTTGGTTGCTATGCAGACACTGCATTGTGGGAGGGCAAAGTTCCCGGATGTCTGACCTCGAAAATTAAATAACCTATAACTGTATTTCAAACAAATTTCTGCCATTAAAATCATCTACATTTAAACTTGTTTCAATTATTCCCATCATATTAAATCTTCCATTCCAACCAGTGCCCTAAATGTTTTATTTTTCATATACTTCTAGCATCACAATAGTAACAATTAAGCCTGTCTTTAGAACTATTTCTGTACTCATTTACTACGCTAAACTTTTCTCTACACCTTTTTCTTTTTTTGCATTTAGTTTATCCTGGTCCTCACCATTGTCTAGTCCTAGTGTAAAACTTCCTTTACAGCTGCATTACATGCCCACATGTCCTAACCACACTACACTAGTTGGCACATCTATGATTCAGATTCTGGATTGTGTTTGTTTTATGCCCGATCTAGTGACATCTCTTCTTTATGGGAGAAGGGTATACCCTGGTACAGATGAGGTGCAGTCTCCATGGGTGTACCCCTATACTGTTCCATGATATAGGATGTCACACTCCATGGGTTCCTTTCAGGCACTTCCTGAAGGGGACTCATCTAGGTAACTTTTGCGTAGGTCCTTCTACCACTATTATGTATGAGTGTGCAAGTAGTATCATGCTTGCTTCATTTTATGAGATAATCCATTGAAAGAAATGCTATCGGATTATCATATTCATTGCAAAATTGATATCTGATCTTTACTATTTATTAAGTATTTCCATTGTGAGAAGGAAAAAAATCAAGGTATATCAAATATACCCTTTCAGTCTGGAAAGGATTAATACACAGTATGCCTGAAAAAGTCTAATTTTATTTAAATGTATATACATATAAGAATATTTTTTCACAATATGTTTAAAACTCTCATACACACAATCTGATTTAATTTTTTTTATATCTGATTGTGTCCTAATTAAAGAAACCTATACATATGTTTTATTCAACAATATTTTAGATCAGTTGAAAAATCAATTTGTTGGGATTTTACGTTTTTTTTTATAAGATAAAATAAATGAAATATCAAAAAAATAATCAAAAATGTTTGTTGATACTTGTTTCAAGCAATGATTGTGGTCATAATTTAAAAAATGTCATGGTTTGTTGTGGCAAAGATTCATTCACAGTAGAGTTGTGAAAATAAAATTAATTTTAAGAATGAATTGTTTTTTAGTAAATATCCACTATTCCTAATTAACTTATGTTTTTACAGTTACAAAAATGGGAGATTCATTTGCAAGAGGCAGTGGACTAATGAGAGGGAGAGGCGGTCCTCCTCGTGTGTCTCGTGGTGGGCCTGGTTTAAGAGGCAGACCACCTGGTCGGTAAGTAATTAAACTTAGACCAAGAGCACAGTTTTTATGGTTGTATTGCTTACTGCAGTTACTAAGCTGCAAGAAAAATAGAGAGTAAAAACAAATTATGATGATGCATTACATCTCTGGTGAGTCCTGCATAACATGTTACAGTAATATCATTTGAGAAAAACAAGAAAAACAGATGTCTGTCTATTGGGGCTACACTTAGCTGAGCTAATTTTTTCTCATGGTCATCTCTTTATATTTCTATCTATGGTACATCATTAAATTGGTTAGGAATATAAGTCCCTAAAGGTGCAAATATTGAAAATGTCATGTACAAGAATGTTTCCAATATGTATTTGATAGTCTTTGGTTTTTAGGCCATGGCTTGAAATACACAACTCTTATGTATTTTGTAGAACTTCAATACATTCTACAATGAGAATGATATCATTTGGGAAAATGGATGTCTGTGTGTCCTTTGTGTAAACTTATAAAGAAGAAGAGAAAAAAGAAATATGCAAAGATAGATGTAATGTGTCAATCGTACCGTATATGTTTGAACTGTATTCTGCACATTCTCCAATTTGTACGCATATGACTAAATATACATGAGGACTCGAAAAGCAAATGTAGCTGGGGTCATATTTCAATAATCGATATTGAAGATCTAGCATTTTTTATGTTGGATATTGATATCTCCAACGAAGTTTCATAAAAAAGTGTTATAAACATGAAAAATAAATAAAAAGAACAGCCAGTTATTTGTCCATGCCTTTTTTTTTTTTTGGTAAATAATAACTGAAAGTGAGATTTTATAACAAAAATTTGTTTTAGCAGATCTACTGGTGTTTTTATAAAACCTGAATGGTTGCTGACCAATCTGCTCGTCTTTTTCTTATATTTGTTATCAATGTTCTTTTTGTTTCTGCTTGTTGTAGAACTTCTTCATTTGTTTTCCGGTCTTTGTAGGAAACCCAAAGCATTCTATGCAGAAACCATATTTCTATCGCATTAAGTGATTTTTTTCCATTTGTTTATTTATTGTCCATGATTTGCAACCATACATCAAGATTAGTTTGATGTTGCAGCTAAAAACTTTTGCACAGTTTCATTGATATACCATTGCTAGTTAATATATTTTTCATCTTCATAAATGTTGTCTTAGCTTGTGCAGTTCTGCTCTTGATCTCATTTGGACATCTGCCATCTGATGTAATCCATCTCCCTAAGTACTTGAACTTGTAAAATTGATTGAGAAAAGTACCATTTAATGATAAAGTGCATTTTGGACTGGTTTCTTTCTTTGATATAACGCTGGTTTTTGTTTTCTTGGTGTTTAGGCTGAGTCCTATATTTCTGCTTTCTTTATTTACAAAGTCAGGTAAGGACTGATAATCTTTTTCAGTTCCTGCTATTAACACTTTGTCATCAGCATATCTGATATTGTTACATTGTTGCTTTCAATACTTATGTCTGGCATGTCTTCTACCTCTCTCATGATCATTTCACTGTACAAGAAGAAGAGATCAGTGGATAACACATATCCTTGATGGACTCCTCTTTTTATCTTGTGAAATCGGCCAAGCTCATTCTCAACTCTGACTGTTGCTGTTTGTTCCCAATTTATATTTTTATTGATTCTCATATCTTTACCATCTAAATTGATATTTTCAATAATTTATATTACAACTTCATGTTTCACTTTGTCAAATGTCTTTGTATAGTCTATAAAATAAACAAACAAATCTTGCTATACTTTGATTGCATGCTCTATGATGGTCCTCAGGATGTAAATTGCAATCGCTGTGCCTTTATCTTTGACAAATCCACATTGTTCCTCTGATGTTTCAGGTTTGATTCTATTTCTTGCTCTCATCATAACTATTTTCAATAATATTTTTGTCAGGTGACTTATAAGACATATTGTTTGGTGTAGTTCACACTCAGTTGCATCTGGTTTCTTTGGTATTGCTATGTATATTGATTTTGATAAGTTTGTTGAGATATGGCCTGTTTCGTAGGTGTTATTTTAAGAACTCGTGACTGTGTCAATGCCAAACTAATCTAATCCCTCAATCATTTTGATTGTAATATTGTCTTGCCCAGGGGATTTTCCAGCTTTCATTTTCTTTATTGCACCTTTTTATTTCTTCTTTCAAAATAGGAGGTCCCTCAAATTATTTCTGAATATAAAGTTTTCAATTATTTGATCATTATAAATTTCCTTGATGTATTTTACCACCTCTTCAAGATCTTGTCCTTTTCTAAGATGACATCTCTCTCCTTTGATTTTAGACAAACTGTTGATGAACATGCCCTTCTCCCACATACTTGGTCAATTCTCTTGTACATTACTTTTGTGTATTGATTGAAAAGCTCTTCTGTTTCTTTACAGATGTCATTTAATCATTCCTCCTTTGCTTGTATGCATTTTTCTGGTATCTCTCTATTTAGTCTATTGTATTCCTACTTTCTCTTCTTTTGTCCATTAGATTTAAAATATCATCTGTCCTCCATTTTTCCTACTTCTTTTTTGAACTGGTGGTATTGTGTCTGTGGCTGCTTGGTTTATAGATTCTTTCAACAATTTCCATTGTTTCTCAACATCCTCTAATCCATCTACCACCTTGAATTTGTTCTTTACTGCTACTACAAAATGTGCCTTGATTGCTGGATTGCTGAAGTACCAGGTTGATCTTGGCATTTTTGACTGTCTTTTTCATTTTCTTCAGCTTTATTCTGTTCTTAGTAAGCACTGGGTTATGATTGCTGTTACAATCAGCCCCTGGTAAAGTTTTGCATGTTAACATTGCATTCCTAAATCTTTTATCAAGATGAAGTTGATCTGGTTTCGAGCACTGTCTCCAGGGCTCTTCCACATCCACAATTTCCATTTATGCTGTATAAACCAGGTGTTTCCAAACATGAGGTCATGCATTTTTGCCCATTTTATTACTCTATCACCTCTCATTCCCTATTCTCAAGCCATATTGACCTACAATGTCTTCCACTCTTTCTTCTCCAACTTTAGCATTAAAGTCTCCATGGACAATGTCCTAAGAGTTGCATTGTTTCATGGCAGTTTCCAAATCATCATAGAAATGATCGATTTTGTCCTTGCTGCTGTTTGATGTTGGGGTATGAACTTGAGTGTTGTGTGGAATCAAGTGGTCTAGCGCTTAGTTTGATCTTCAGCACTTGATCTGATATTGCCCAATATCCTTTCATGGTGTTTGCATATTCTGGGTCTAATACAATTCCAATGCCTTTTGCATCTTTCTGTCCTCCTGAATAGACAATGGTGTACTTGTCTAATGTTAACACTCCCAATTCATTGAACTTTGCACAGTCCCAGTGTGTTGATTTTTAATCTATCCATTTCTCTCTTGATGTTGCCCAGTTTGCCACAGCTATACATTGTTCTGACCTTCCACGTGGCTAAATTGATGGTAATTATGTTTTGTGGCAGTGGATGATCATTGACTCATGTGAGTTCATCTGCCCTTTGACAGGTTTAGTTTTTAGTCCTGCAGGGATCCACTGCCCTCATCTGGCTAGCCAGATGGGGGTGCTGGTATAGTTGCCAACAGCCCGACCATAAACAGGTAGTACTGGATTACATGTTTGCCAGTAGCAGAGAAACTGACCTGACAGGCTCTTGTTGCCAAATAATATTGAAAAGAAAAAATAATGTCAAAGTGCATGTACAAATGACACGTCATGTAGCCTATTAACTGTTTATATACTAGCGACATGTTTCTTGTGGGTTCTAGAATAATCGATAAGACTCTCACGTTGCGATTGGTCTAGAGAAATTTATAGCCAGTGGTTGTTAACATTTTAAGCATGTGATTCACTTATGTAAAAGTACATATGACATTTTGTGAAAAACATGTACATAATGGAGAAAAATGGATATCATATTCGGATTCAGTGTACAGGAATTTCTGTAGAACATGTAAACATTTCAAGACAATAAAACCATCACAGACCTGTGTAATTAAAGCAATCATTTTTAAAGCTACAAATATTTTTATGCAATATTAAGATAAAAAGTTTTATAATGCAAAATTTACTATTTAGTTCTTTAGAATTCAGCATTTTTCAAAAGTTGGTAAATTTGTTAACCTGTGGTTTCTATCAATTTTCTTGGTTTTCATTTTTTTATGATTTGAAAACTTTATTTTGGTCTTAGAATAACAGAATGAAATCCAGTCTTTAGGATATTTACAAACAGTTAAAGATTTTATTTTATTTTAGAGGAATGTTTCCGCCTCGTGGAAGAGGAGGACCACCACCACCTATTCGTGGAGCTCCTTTGAGAAGAGGTGGTCCACTTCCAAGAGGAAGGCCACCATTGCGAAGAGGTCCTCTTGGACCACTGAGAGGAAGAGGAGGTGTGTTTATTATTTTTCCTTATACACGATATTCATTATTTAGATTTTAAAATTTTGGCAGCAAAATTATTTTCATTATTTTGCATTATTTCATAAAAACATTTTAACAGTATTAATGAAGTTTACTGTTTAGATAGTTTCCTGTTATTGACAAGACAATTTACCTTGTCTTTCTCAGAGTATTGACTTTTTTTTTATAGATAAGAACTGTGTATGGTGCTGTTAGTGTAGGGAAAAAATGGCAACTCTTAAGAACAACAACATGCCATGTATTTACAACAAAATTTGTAGATTCTGCAAATCTAGCATGCATATTTATTAACGTATTGTGTCCCTCCCTTTTTCTAAATTTTCACTACAGTGGTATTTTTGTCCAGGCTGCAGTATCAATCACTTTTTTATTGTCTTTATGATACTGAAGACTGTCACACAGCAAATAGGACTTAAATGTTACAGAGGTGTGTTACTTTCAGAATGTTCTTATTGTTTCCTCTATTAGCATCACCCCCTCAAGGTGGATTTCTGTATGTGGTGAGGGATCTCTCAAGGTAAGTTCTGTATTTTTAGTTTACCTCCTCTGGGATTTGATCATCCACCTCTGTGGTGACCTGTGAAAGGGAGGAGAGGATCCTGGTGGTTATTTGGTATCTGGGGTACTGCAACACACCACTTTGACCTTGATTTCCTGTAGAAAGGTGGCCTTGAGGTGGCTCCCCCAGGGTCAATCGGCTGGTCCTGTTGGGCTAGGGTCAACCAACTACCAGTGTTGGGCATTCTCAAAGGGTATTGTGGACATTGTATCTGATGCTGGTTTTTGGGTATAGTGCTCACGAAGCCCTGGTATAGCTACAGTGTCATTGTTTGGCATTGTAGTGCTTCCCCTTATAGTACTCCATTGTGAGTGGAGTCAGTGGGTACTGAACAGTTTTCCTTTTTTGTGGATCCCCCAAATCCAAATAAAAATAAAACATTAAAAAGCAGTTAATGGGCAAGTGACCACACATAAACGACTCTGTTACACAATCATCACCCAAGTCAGCTCCTGTACCTCAATTTTTAATTCTTCATTCTTTGTCTGACAAATCCTTAGGGCAAATGTCTCCCTTTTTCATTCAGAAGGGATTAGAGAGGTTTGCTGGCTCTCCCATGTCAGTCAGATGGTGGAAACATCTATATCAACTCAGCAAACTCCTCCTGAAGTCAAAGGCCCTTGGGGACATACCTATTGAGGTTACTCTCCATGCTACTTTGAACTCCTCACAAGGAGTTATTGTTAAGAGGAATTTGAAGAACATCCTTGAGTCAAAGATCCTTGCTGGTTTCTCCAGCTAAGGAGTTTCTGCTGTGCTCCGTGCAGTCACAAGGATGGAATTATGCTGCCAACCAATATTCTGATTTTGATGTTTACATTGCCATCTCTACCTGCCTCTGTCAAGGCAGGCTATCTTAACTGTAAGGTACAGCCATATATTCCTAACCCTCTCGGATGTTTCCAGTGTCAGCAGTTTGGAGATTCAAAAGCATCTGTCATGATTCTTTGATGTGTTCAAGCAGCTGTTTGTTCTATCCCCAAAACCTTGACACGTTTACCATGATATCCTTGTCCATGGTTGTCTCCACTCTGCCAGCAGGCATGGAAGGCTCAGCAATGGGCCTGGGATACCCTTTCCAACTGCACTGCTTTTCAGTGGGCCCATGCCAGGTCATACGTCAAAACCAAAAGGAATCTTAGATTAAGTTCACAATTAGCATCTCTTCTACCACCACTTCCGAAGTCATCTGGGACAAGATTTGGAACGTCAATGGGAAATATACTTCCCATCCCCTTTCCATCTTACTCTCCATTGGCCAAGAAGTTGCTGATGTACAGAGCATCGCAGATACTCTTGGGTAGTGCTTTTCTTATCTCTCCAGCACTTCTGTATCTTCCCCTGCCTTCTTGGACATCAAGTCTCTGGCAGAGTGATCTCCTGTTTCCTTTCAAGCTGATTCTCTTTATGACTATAATCGCCCTATTACACGGTGGAACTTAAGCTTGCTGTTCTTCTGTCTGGCAGTACATCAGTCGGGCTCAATGACATTCATTATGAGATGATGCACCATCTCTCTCCTGCCTTTCTTTTGAATTTAATAATGAGTTTTATGTTCAAACAAAAGGCACAGCTGTGGGCACCAAGATAGCACCAAACATTTTTATGGGAGACTTAGAGATGAGACTGTTGACGAAAATTCAATACTGTCCTTTTATAGACATGCTAACACCATCCACAGTTTTATTAAATTTACTCTAGGTTACTCCACTATCCAAATAAGTTTTGTAGATGTAAACCTAACATTAAAAGATGGTGTTCTACGTACTGATTTGTACCAAAAACCAACGGATAAACCACAATACTTACATGATCGAAGCTGTCACCCTCCACACACGAAATGCAATATCACATTCAATCAAGCACTTAGATTAAAGAAGATATGCTTATACAGTAAGAACTATGACCATCACATTAATCTAGACTTAGTATTTTGACTTCACAAACATCTAATTTGAAGCAATACTGCATTAAACATACTACGTGACAGACAAAAATCGATGTTTGTCTTGTTTTTAATATTTACTGTTAAATTAAGAAATTGAGTAAGGTATAGTACTAAAATTTGATTATAATCTACAGTTTGATGCCAAACTTATTGACATAAATTCATGAAATAGTAGTTCAATAAAATTTTAAATTTGAGTCGTCAAACTAGATGACATGGCCTTTCACCCGTGACCTGTCTCTAAAGTGTTAATGCTAAAGTTTACACTTGCATCAACCTCTTTTTATGAATGTCTGTCCAAGAATCAAAAAGTCCTCAACTGCATGGTTGCTGATGGTGAAATGTTTACCTTTAGGTGTATCCTCATTGTGCAGTTTAATATGGTTTAGATGTTCTTGTGCTTTATCACTGATATAATTCTAATAGATTCTGTCAGACTACATTGTTTTATAAAGCTTATTACATTCTAAACTAATGTCACTGAATAACAATGATGAAAAGGAAGACATTAAACAAGATTTATTTTTTTATTAAAATTTCAAACCTTCAGTTTATGTAGTATAGTAACTAAACTGATGTAATGGTTACCAGCAAATAGTGGTTCATAATTTGTTGCCAGTGTCCATTTCATATGAAGATATTCAAATTCATCTTTAAAAATAAACTATTACCAAGTGCCTACAAACTAGAAAACCGAAAAAATTATAATTTGTATTTAACACAGAATAAAGCACAAACGTAGTATTTTGCCTCCAGCTATCATTCCAACCTTCACATCTTTTTTTTCCATTGGTGAAGGATTTTCAGTTAATTTCTTGCAATTTAATTTTGAGACCCTTTCAGATACTTTTACAATGAACTTTTGAGTTACATGAAACTTTTTTTTTTCCATATTCAAATTGTGTTATTTTTGCATTCAATAACTTTAACAGAGAAATAACCTTGCACATCCGGACATTCATGTTAAGCAGAAATAAATGAGTTTTACTCACTAATGATATAAAAACTAACCAATATTATTATTAATAAAGAAGACTGTTAATTACTTCTTGATTAAATAATCTTCTGATAAACAACTTTATAAATAGAATATTTCTTTAAAAAGTTAAGTTTTTACTTTTATTTCCTCTCCTCTTTGTAATCAATAATAATGCTAGTTGATTTTAATGTTGTTTTTGCTTTATGTGATTAGAACATTCTTTTGCCCATGTATTTTCTATTGTGCCTAATTTTTGTTATTTTCGTATGTCTGATGTAAAAAGTTGAAAGATTGCATGGCTACATTCGTATATGTATTTATTTATATACAATAAAATCTCATAAGTCAGGAACAAGGAAAGAAATGTATTTTGAATATAAAAAATAATTGTGAAGTCCAATTTTTCATTCAGTTTACCACTTGTCACTGTGTTATACTTGTTTTGAGGAATTCCACATCTCATCAGTAACCCTGGACAAGGGCAAATCAAAAGAATTAGACGGCTTCATATAGTGGGAGAGTTTATCTTATTTCTTCAAGCATTTTGAACAGTTTGTCCACTGAGTAATTGAAGAATATATTAATAGCATCAATATTGCATATTATTGAAATTCCTATATAAATATAGGATCACCGTGTGTGTGTTAGGGACATTTCGTAACACCATAAATATTTCAAATATATACTGATTTTAATTGTTTATTATAATATTGCAAGTAAATTCATTGTTCAACAATGATTATTGGATTTAAACTGTTTAGATACTGGAAAAAATAATAGTTGTTAGTGATTATTACATATAAATACAGTTCAGAGTAATACATGACTATATTTTTTGTCATATTAACAACTCTCAGATATAATTTCATACGTAACTATGATAAGTAATATATGACTTACCCAAGTCATGCTTCAAATTTAAAAAAACCCATAAAAGTCTTGTATTTGAATGTTTTAGCCAGTGACTACTCCACATAAATACCATAAAGGACAATTATACAAAATATCAAACTACTTCTGTAGGCAACAAATAAGGCTCTTTACTGTTGTAATAAATAGATGTGCCTCAAAAGATTTGAAAATACATACTTTTTTTGTTTTGTTTATTTATCAAGAACTTAATATGAGGGTGTGATGAAAATAAATGCTTAAGAGAACAATCTGATCATTAATTCATTATCCCTCACTTTTTTCTTTTTGGCACCTTATGAGGTTGGTGCTTATGCCTTAATCCGGTCCTGGTACAAACTTCATAAATTGTATAGTGTCTGCATGAAAGGTTTCATACAATTTTATATAGTATTTGCATTTTGTTTTGGATATGTAGTTTTTTATAAAGATATTGACATTTTTTTTTAAACTGCTTTCGAAAACAATAACTTATTTCTTTCATCTTATACTTTATCATTTTTATTAAGAAACAGAAAGCTTAATTTTGTATATCCATTCAATTTTTTTTGTTTCATTTTCATTAAAGTATTTATTTTGCCAGTTTAAGTAGCCAATTTCTGTCTATAAATCATCCAAGCACAGCAAGACTAACAAAGATTTGTGCCCATTGATCTTACCTTTCAAAATGCCTCCTAGTGGTTCAACAGTAAGTTTGGTGGCTTATAACACTAAACATTTGGGTTTTGATACCCATTGTTGTGTTTAGCAACAAAAACCTTTCAAAAGTGCATTATTATTGGATGGATTGTAGATAGATTTTGTTTGTGATGAGTAATTGTTTAGTCCACTTCGTGTTGGAATGTTCATTGAATTTGAGATAATTTTCTTCAAATTCTATTTTTAATAAAGAATTTTAGTAAAATAGATTTAAGGAAACAGTTTAATATTTATCACTGTATAGCACCACGTGGAGATATGGCACGGGGGCGAAGACTTTTGGGAGGACCTCAGGGTGGTCCTCCTCCTAAAAGGGGACATTGGGATGAAGGTGGAGGATATCCCAACTATGATAGGTAAGTTCATGTGACTACCTTTTAACATGTCTTGAATTATAATCTAATGAGTATGCCATTGTATAACAAGGGAGAGTTTCATTCAGGATATCTTATTGCATGTTTTAAAAAATTATGAAAATTAGAACCACACAAGTTGTGTGATGTGGGTACAAAATCTCAGGAATAGCTAAACATCTAGAAATATTTTTCTTCGGTGTGAACATAAGTCATGTGAGTTTGACTTTCTAATGATATTTTATAATAAATATTTTTTTGTTGGCTAATGCTATTCCAACTACAACTTATCAGTGTTAAAGCTATCACTACCTAATTTGTTAAGATATAATAAAAATTTTGCCCAAAATGCAAAAGGAATTCTGTAAGTTGGTTCTAGGCAGCCAAGCCCTAAATCTAATTTTCTAATAACACCTGCTTTCATCTGTGAGCAAGCTGAGTTAAATATATGGATGATTTCTGACCAGGGCTGGCACAACCAGATGAGTAGCACATGTATTTGCAAAGGGCAGCAGTTTCTTGAGGATAACAAAAATGAATGTCAAAAAATTAGTTCTGGTCACCAGCTGCTCCCTGGCCAAGTGAAATTTTCCTCATCAGGCAGAATTGGCACTCTATGGTAAGGCATACAGCTAGAACATAACACTGCAGCTGTTTACTGATGATTCACAGAAAATTTGTTGTGGACTGGGAAGCACAGTCACTGATTGTTCAGGGCAGTAAAACATGGTGTCAGCCCTGTTTCTGACTAACAACACATTTTATTAAACCACCTTTACAAATCTTCAGTCTTTTTCTTGGCAAGATGCCTGGGTGATCATATATACTGAATCTTTACATGTGTTACAGTGTATTTGGTCATTTCATCTTCCCAAATAGCTTTTTAAAAGTAAAATCAAACTCTTTTTACAACTAAAATCATTGTAACTGTAATCTAATCAAAAACACCTTAGGTGTGAAAAAAAAAAGGTGAGGCCAAAAAAGGATTGAGTGTGTGACTTAAAGGAATGAAATCAAAATTGGCAGCCAAACTGGTAACTACACTTATAGCATCATGCCCCAAGTTGAACAAAGAACACTGTCTGGCTAAGTAATGAATGATTATTTGCTGTAAAATTCTTATCAATGCTATAAATTGTGGCTTTACACATGGCTTATACTTACACCAAATGAGACTCCTAATTGTAGTTTGTAAAGATCTATCAGTGTACCAAATTTGAAAAAAAATCATAAAAGTTAAGTATGTTTTCTATCAACTAAAGTTTCCATACTTTTGGTGCAGAGAAAAGGGGGGAGGAGAAACTCAATCAAAATTGGAGATGTTATATCTCAGGTATTTTTGAATGGATTGCCTTGAAGATTGGTATGTGTAGTAAGAGGCCAGTAGAGCACATTCACTAAAAATATATGATAGCTTGGATTACCACAATCTGAGATATAAAGGGTGGAAAATTGCTAAGCTATCACTTCTGTTAATAACACACACAATGTGTCCTGCAGCAGGTTGTTTTGGCCACACGACACACAACCATGTGTCTCGACAGCTGAAATCTGCTCATTTGCAATGCTAGGATGTTGTTATTTTTTTCTGGCCCGGCATGGCCAGGTGGTTAGGGCACTCAAATTGCAATCTGAGGGTTGCGGGTTTGAATCCCCATACCACCAAAAATGCTCGCCCTTTCAGCTGTGGTGGCATTTTAATGTGACGGTCAATCCCAGTATTCGTTGGTAAAAGAGTAGCCCAAGAGTTGGCGGTGGGTGGTGATGACTAGCTGCCTTCCCTCTAGTCTTACACTGCTAAGTTAGGTATGGCTAGCGCAAATAGCTCTCGTGTAGCTTTGTACGAAATTCAAAACAAATAAACAAATTGTTCATTTTTTATCTCCACTTTACTCTCTGTAATTTTTTGAGTTTTAAATACTATTGTATTTTAATATATAATACTAGTAATAAGAATGTAATATAATTTTATTGTCAAATGTACAAAAGGCAGCTTTTTGATACAGTGTTGAAGTTAAACTAATAGTAACTTGTATGAGGGCAAGTTACATTATACAATTTATAGGTTTCATTTGTTTTAAATGTTGTATGAAAAGTTTAAGTTATTGTATAAAGGTCTTTATATTTATGCTTTAAGTTAACCAGCACATAAAGTGAATTGCTAAAACATTCAGTTATTTCTTTTATCTGAAGCTTACTTTTAAGTTAGGGCTGTAAAATAGGTTATTATAAACTTGTTCTGATTTGACTAAACACAAAATGAACTAGATCTCTCATTTAACTACAGTGCTTGAATTTTTTTTTTTTTTCTAACATTAGGCCTAAACAATCTAGATTCATTAAATGCAGCCTTGAACTCACTAGTTTGTTTTAGAACCAGCCAAATTGTATTAAAGCGTTTGGTTTTCACTTTGTTTGGATTCTCTGGTAGTGACAGTTATGTATGAAGGCTTGAATGCACCACTTTAACACACTTTATTGGCTGAAATGAGTTTGTATGTTCTTTAAAAAACTCTTTTTGTTTGTGTTGGAAATAAAGCATTTGTTTGAAAGCTAACTCCTAAGTTACATTTGATCTTCAGTTATAAGATGGAATGAACTGTGCATCATGTGTCACAGGAATTTCATTTTGGCACTTCCTCAAGCTTATGGTTCACGTTGCAACTAAAATCATGGCAATGTAAGTAATTTATGATGATGATTGTACTCCATTTCATACAGATGAAGACCAAGATGCAGACAAATTAACCAATATGACCACAATGAAATGAGAAAAAGGCTCAAGGTGCAGCAGTTCTTATCCAACTGTAACTACATTTAGACATGGAAGCCATCATTAACTTGGATGAGATACACAGAGCCATAAATGTATCTAATGATGGAGCTCTAGCTTCTGGATGATGTCAGAATCTTCATCTGTAATAAGCTTGCAGAGCTGATGTTTAGAAGTTAGTTTCTTATTGTCAACATAGATAAGCAACAGGTATAATTCATGAGGTATGGGCTGATGTATTTTTCAAATCCTTATCCAAACCCCTGAAGGATCTCTCTCTCATCTTAAAAGTCAACAAAGCAAATCACCATTGTAAATGACATTAGATAGATCCCAGTAAAAACTGTAGCTAGAAGGCTTGCCTATCAACTTAAACTACTGCTACTCTCATAATTAGTTGATTAATATGGTGGAAGAGAAGCCTTGATCACCAATGTTGAATTTTCAGCTTATCCAAGGGAAGGCTTTGAAGCTGATCAGAACAACTTGTCAATAGATTTAGATCTGGAAAATGTCTATGGTATAGTCAAGCTACCCCTTCTTGCTGACAAAGTTCTTAGAATAGACATCAGTGTAACATTTAAGATGGTTCATAGCTGCATTGTCTATCATAAGATGCATCATAAAGCATAAATATTGGCAATTAGATTGAATCACCATCATTAGTTGTGTGCCTCACGGATTACCACTCATCAGTTCTCTTAAACATTTACACTATGACAGTCTAACCAAAGGCTCTAGCAAAGCTGAAATCAAAAACAAGAGCAAATGGTGCAGTGACATGGAAATGTTCATCAATCCTTCCAAGGTTAAAGCCATGTTCTGCACACTCAACAACAGACATGCTGATGAGGACAAACCATCACCATCTTACCACTGTTACAGTCACTGCCATTTCTTTGAAAGAAACACTGAAGTACCTGGAGTAACCTTTTACAGAACTCTTCATCGGCCACATTAACATCATGATAACTACAGCTACTAAAAGTTTCAAAAGGAAATAGAGCTGAATAATGCCAACTCACCTGTGCTCTTCCAGTCGTAACTGCTGGCACCTCTGTGGAAATCAGCCTAGACAGAAAATACAGAGACTGGGCAGAGGGTCAAGCAGGAAAAGACCTATTTGAAGACCCTTGTAGCCAATTTCACCTGTCATCATTGACCAAGATTGTTCCTTCCCCACACATAGCAAGAGAAATGGTTCAGCATTCATAATCTTTCTGAGCAACATCATTCTGCATGAGGCTTGGGGATTATTCAAACTTCTCACTAGCAACATAAGAATGGAGCTGGAAGTCATAAAGCAAGCTCTACTCTGGAATAATTTAATCATTGAATTCCAAATAGACGGTACTATCAACATAATATTTATGATTGACTCACAGGTTGTACTGCATAAAATTCCGAGGGTTGATCTTCAGATGGTTGGCAAAATTCAAAGCAACTGCATGTTAAGACAATTACCTGGATGTTGTGCTAAACCATACACAGATAAAGGTTAACAAGGAAGCTGACAAACTCACAAGAGAAACCATCATATCAAATCTAACATAACTCTACTGGCAGTGTATTGATATCCTCTATAATAGCGATGTGAAAATGGCAACCATGAAAGGTCTTTAATATTAAAAAAACTTGTTAATATCAAGATTCTTATGATAATTACGTAAACCAATTTTGAAGTAACTAAATATTAGAGAGTTGCATACTGATATTGTAGGCCACCAACAATTTAATTTTTATGTGAAACACAGAATCAGCTGTTTTATTTCCCGCCTTGTAGCAAGTTATTTAAATTCATGTGCTTTTACTTAAAGTGGGAATATTTTAAGTAATTTGTCTTTTTGGTCAACTTAGATTGGATATCCTTAGAAAGTTGTTCTTGCTAGGTTGACATTGATAATGGTCTTATTCATCGTAATAAAACTGTATAAGTAATTTACTCTCTTTATTTTTCTTGTGAGATTAAAGTAAGGCTAGTAAATCCTTTATATTTTTATACTGTTATACATGTGTGTCCTCCAGATAATTGTGCCAGTTTATTTTATCATATGTAGGTAATTTTTGTATCAATCCTTTCTCAGTGATATTGCTTGTTTAGTTTAATATTTTTTATTTGAGTTTCTTATTACATTGATTACATGTTGTAAAAAGGTCATAATTTGTCACATAATACAAATACTTTAAATTGTAAACTGTTACATGTAAGATTCATAAAAAAACAAGGTTGTTTGAAAAAATTTAGGGCTAAGAAATAATACATTTTCAGTGCCTTTGTTTATAAAATTAAAATTGTTTACCTTGTATTTTTGAGAGTACTTGTTTCAAGCTGTTTTCATCATAATCATGACTGTTTTAACCCTGTCTCAATATGTCATATGTCAAAGGCCATGTCTTCATGTTTGTTGACTTTCATTTTGTGTTATAATTTGTAGTCATTCTAGAATGAAAAAAGTATAATTTATACTTTTTCTAATTTCTTATTGAGGTTATGAAGTCGGTCATATCAAACCACCCTGTACAGAAATACACTGGTGAAAATAACAAATAAAATATAGTTTTTTCTACAAAAACTTTGATAATTATCTGGAGATTATAAAGATTTCACATGTGAAATTTGAAAATGTTCTAATGCATTCAAATATTTCTAATCATAAAATCAAAATTACTTTGCATGTTGGATAATCAACATTCTGAAAAAAAAAAAGGTTTACGAGAAAATCTGTAATTAAAAAATCTTAATACTTAATTTAAAAACCTGATATTTTGTGTACAAAAACCTTATAATGCAGAATTTTTAACGATGTACATACATTATCAAAAATCATGGTATAATTACTCTCATGAATACTTTTGTGGTTACGAGCTGGGTGGATTCCACCCAACCCATATTGAAAGGGTTAATATGCTGATGTTTCTACTAAGATTCATTCAGATAACTTTGAAGAGGATGTTATATTTTATGGTTATGATGTTGTCACTTGATATGTCTAAAACAATTTTCGTAAGCTAGAAGCATGAATGTACATTTTGTATATTGATCGGTCAGTTGTCATATTTTGCTGGTTAAAACTACAAGATTGAAATTTTTATTGGTGTATTAATTCATTTTACTTTCAGGCATATTTATTGCAATGCATTGATTACTTTAATTGTTGTACATGATCATACATTGTTGTGAAGCCTAACAAAAATGTTTGTACATGGATTTTTAAAAACTTATGATGTGTAGCGTAAGTAGGGCTTCCACACAGATACATTTTTAAAGACGTATATGTGTAATAACCATATATATATATG